TTTTTTTTTAGATAATATTGTCTATATGCCATTATTTTTAAAAATATTCTACATCTCAATGTATTGTTTTTGCTGATTTGAATTGTCCTAAGTGAATTAATCTCTACTATTACTGTATTTCTATAAAAACACATAAATAAACGCAAACTCTAACACATGTAATTAAAAGTCGAAAGCAACAGCCATAGTTTCAAGGGTATATTTACAAATCTACCATTCCATTAATAGTGACTCAAGCGAAAATAATAAGATTGATTTACCATTGGTTTACCATAAAATGGAAATCCTTGTAACTGTCTCAAAGCATTCGTAGATGAGCCCAATTCCTTAAAAATAACAAAGGCCTGCCCCCTCATCTTCATGGTCTTTAAAGCCACAATATCTACCACGTGGCCAAACTGAGAAAACAGGGCATATAGAGATCTTTTCAATTCTGTCCAAATTAAAGAGGAAACAAAATATTTGTGAATAAAACAATGACAAAATTCCTCATAAAATGACACTGCAGTGAGTGCCCCCTCACCATTTGTTTATTTATATATATAGTTATAATAAATTTTATTAAAAATACATGCTATTCCACTTGCTATCCATTTAAAAAGTTATTTGAAACCATTATACTATGAGTAAAAACAGATTCAACATTGTCAGTCCCACCTATTTTTATAAAGCTTTAAAATCCTTATACAAAATGCGATAAACCATTATTTCAGACAATATGAAAGATGACTGGATAAGAAGTTTTGCAACAGTACAATTTTTAAGACAGTAGTGAATAAGCACATTTTAGTTGTGAACAAATATTTTAAAAGCACTTACCTTCTTTTTTAATTTTGTCATTCATATTATTGATATAAATTGTATGATTTGGTCTGATATCCATATTTGGGTTAAATTCCTTAAATAGCCTAAAGAGAGAGTAAATAATGTTATAAACAGGGAGGATTAAATCATACTACAGTGTGGCATAAGGACACAACACAAGGGTTATTAACTTTTCAATTCTCTTTCAATCCCAAATGTCAGTTTGGCCATAGACTTTACTATCTCTCCAGCACTTATTAGCCCTCCTTTTTAGAGAAAAGGAGACAGTTCTCAGGCTCAAATCCTGGTGGAGCACCAGTACCTAGCC